GAAGCTGGCTAGTGGCTTTCTGGGAGCAGGTGCACTATGTTTTTTTTAGAAAATATATATTTTTATTGATTTCAGAGAGAAGGGAAGAGAGAGAGGGAGATAGAAACATCCATGATGAGAGAGAATCATGGATCGGCTGCCTCTTGCACGTCCGGGTCCTCGCCTCGTCCCAGCGCTGACCTCGTCACCCCTCCAAAGCTGTCTCTCAGAAAACACAGTCCTGCAGCCTTTTAGTTCAAAACCTCTGCTTTTTATTAGTACATTAGTGGTTTTTAAAAATATGTTTATGTATATCAGAGGGAGGGGGAGAGAGAGAGAGAAACATCAATGATGAGAGAGAATCACCGATCGGCTGCCTCCTGCACGCTTCACACTGGGGATCGAGCCCGCAACCCGGACATGTGCCCTGATTAGGAATCGCACCGTGACCTCCTAGTTCCTAGGTCAACGCTCAACCACTGAGCCACGCTGGCTGGGCCTGAGTCTCTATTTTTATCTCTAAAATGAGAGAACTTGAGTGGTTTTAATTTTTTTTTTTAGACACAGAACTCTTTCATTAATAAAACGTTTTGCCCAAAAGGGTATTAGTTTTGAATGAGACCCAAACGTAAGCCCCCAAAGCAAATTAGCACGATAACCCGACCAATTCCTAGTGGCTGTCTGGGACGGAACAGAGAGACGAATTCTGTGGCGTGAGAGACGTCTGTGATGAATTAGCGATGTCTGCGGGGCGCAGAGGGCAGGCGGGCCTCCCGGCGAGTGCCATCCTGTCTGGAAGGTAGAGATGATGAACAGATGAAGAGGGGGGACCTTGCAGGCTCCCCCAGGCAGAGTCCCCTGGCTCTGGCTGCTCATTTAAAAAAAAAAATATATATATATCTATTTTTATCTCTAAAATGAGAGAACTTGAGTAGATGAGTGGTTTTAATTTTTTTTTTAGACACAGAACTCTTTCGTTAATAAAACGTTTGCCCTACTGGGGATGTGCTCGCAACCAAGATACATGCCCTTGACCGGAATCGAACCCGGGACTCCTCAGTCCACGGGCTGATGCTCTATCCACTGAGCCAAACCGGTTACGGCTTGGGCTGCTCTCTTTAGCAAGCCCTCCTGCTGTAAGATCAGAGCGTTCCTCCCAGCTGTGCTCAGCCACTAGGACGCTCAATCTTGCAGGCGAAACAGTAACAACCCTACGCAATAGTTAAGGCTCCGAAAAGAATTCTATGATGAATTACACAGAAATGGTCCCCACCGAACTCCCAGCAGACAGAACGAGACGAACATCTTTGCGCTGAAACATCAACAGCCACTGCAATGTCATTTTTGCCCGAAGCCTCGCTCCAACCGAGAGGCAAGAAATAAACTGGCTTCCAGGAAACCGGTGGGTGCCAGATCGCCGCATTTGGCGGTGGAGCGTCTGGTCCCTCTCGCAGGCACCTGCTTCGTGTAATTGACCGTCTCCGGGGAGGCGGTGAGAGCCGCTTTCTGAGGGGTGAAGGCGTACCGTCCCCCTGCAGAGCCCCGGGAGCAAAACAAGATGCAGCTGGGCGAGGCGCTGAGCACGGTTCGCTGTGCGCAGGGATTTGCCAAACTTGGCGACCGGAGGCCGTGGGAACCCATCACTGTGCTCACGAGGTGCCTCGGGACCAGCGAGGATGGGGGCTCCCCTGTGAAGAAGTTCCCTCCTTTAAGGTCCTGGGGAGACAGCTGCTGGATGCTCACCAGGCTTCCAGCGCGCAGCTCTTAGAACTCGGTCCCAGTTCCTCGCCTCGCGTATAAAGCATTTGCTTAAGAAAACCTGCCAAGCCCGGCTGGTGTGGCTCAGTGGTTGAGCACTGACCCCTGAACCAGGAGGTTAGGGTTCGATTCCAGGTCAGGGCACAGGCCCGGGTTGCGGCTCCATTCCCAGTGTGGGGCATGCGGGAGGCGGCCAATCCATGATTCTCTCTCATCATGGAAATCCCTTGATTGGGGTATCTATACAAGGCAACCGTTCTCTCTTCTCTCTTCTCTCTTCTCTCTTCTCTCTCTCTCTCTCTCTCTCTCTCTCTCTCTCTCCCTTCCTCTCTGAAACGAATACAGACATATTAAAAAAAAAGGAAATAAAAAGACAATACCCCTATATTTCTCCATCCCCACCCCCACTTTGAAGGGAAGCGTTGTTATTTCCGTTCACAACAAAACGCTTATTGGACAGCTGGTATGTGCGGGCGCTCCGGGCACAGTGATGGACAGGAGCCACCTCCTCCAGCCGGAGGGAGGTCTCCTCCCACTAAGGGTCCAGCACTGCGATCAAACCCGGACAGATTCCCACGGCCCTGCCAGTGCCCGGGAGGCGGTCTCCACACCCCGGGAAGGGCCCAGAGCGGGTTCCCAGGCGGGATGCTGCAGACAGGAGCTGGGCTGGCAGCGCCCGTGGCTGGCTCGGCTGTTTGCAGAGTTGCCTTGGAAAGCTGTCTGGGCGCTGGTTCTGCCCAGAGCTGCCTGGTGGAGAAATGCCCTGCCCGTGCCTGAGCAGTGTCCTCCTGCCCAGGGCAGGGGCAGCCTGCAGAGAGGAGGGAGGGAGGGGCCCGCCCGGAGCCCAGGCCTCACCCAGGGCCTGCTGCTCCCTGAACCTGAGTCAAGTATGACATCTAAGGCCTGGGAGCTGTAACGTCCCAGCGGCTCAAGTCAAAAAGATTCCTTCTTGTGCCCGGCCAGTGTGGCTCAGTGGTTGAGCATCTACCTATGAACCAGGAGGTCACGGTTTGATTCCCGGTCGGGGCACATGCTCAGGTTACGGGCTCCATCCCCAGTGTGGGGTGTGCAGGGGGCGGCCGATCCATGATTCTCTCTCATCATTGATGTTTTTCTCTCTCCCTCTCCCTTCCTCTCTGAAATCAATAATAAAAAAAAAAGATTCCTTTTTTCTCTAGGCCCAGCCCTTGAGTGACAGGGGGTGGGGCAGCTCGCCCGGGAGGTGATGCCCCATTCCCAGGACCTCCAGGCCGGACCTGGTTGGTTGGTGGCGGGGGGAGAGGATGGGACAGTATTTGCATAGTTGCTCTTTTAGATGTTTCCCATCGCTCCCCGCTTTACCCAGGGAGCTGCTTTACAGAACAAATAGCAACGGGTCTGGCCTGTGAGGTGGGGCAGGCGATGCAGGAGGAGGTCTGGGCTGGGATCCTAACTCACAGGATTACCCTGGAGGCGCCGTCGGCCTGTTGTCAGGCTGTTTGATGGAACGCGAGACGCTGTTGCTAGGTGGTCGGCCACGCGGAGCTTCACCCCCTCCTCCCGCCTGTGCCTCCATGCAGGGGGGTTAGCGGGGAGGGGGCCGTTCTCATGACCCTGAGGCCTGGGAGTTGGCCCACCAGCTGGGGGTGAGCACCAGGAGGGGGGGTGGCGGCGGGAAGTGGGAATCGGGGCCCTCGATCCCTGCTCCCGCTTTGTTTCCTGGACTGGGGTGTCTTTCTTGATCATCTGCTCATTCCTCAGTGTCCCCAACCCTAGGGTTTCCTTCCTGTCTCCTGGACCTCCTCTCCGGGGGCTTAGGGTTTGCCTCTTGCGGATACATCTCCTGGGCACTGAGCCCCACTGTCTGCTGGGTGTTGCAGGCACCAGGCTGTGACCACCAATTCTTTTAAAAATATATATTATATATATTTCTTTATTGATGTCAGAGAGGAAGGGAGAGGGAGACAGAGAAACAAACGTGATGAGAACCATGGATCGGCTGCCTCTTGCACGCCCCACACTGGGGATGGAGCCTGCAACCAGGCATGGGCCCTGACCAGGAATCGAACCGGGACCTCTTAGTTCGCAGGTCACTGAGCCACAGGGCCGGGCCCTTTTCCCCTGTGGCAGCATTTTCTTGCCTCTGGTTCCCAGGCTCCTCCTTCCCCTGCTCCCTGGTGTCGGGTGTGTGAGCGCCTCCAGCCTCGCGCTCCGACCAGCTGCCGCCTCGCAGAGCTGTGAACACGCAGGGCCTGGAGCAGACATTTCAGAGCCGCCCTTCCTCTTCTCTGCATTAATTACCAAATTAATCATCCTTCGGAGGCCTCCGTCCCCGCTGGTCTCCCCGCCGCTCGCCGCGGCCTCCTGAGCAGAGCTTCCTGGGATGACGTCGCTTCTCTCCGAATCGGCCGCCATCCATCACCGCCTGGCCGCCCTTTAGCATCCAGAGGGCACGTCGGTGTGTTTGCTACTTCCCTGCACTGGGTCCCACAAGCCCCTGTGTTTGGGGAGATGAAGCTGTCTGGTGTCTCGGTGCTAATTGATCTCAAGTCCCCACAAATGGACTCATTCAGTCCCCATCCCTGCCCTTTTCTTTTTAAAACTTTGATTTCAGACAGGAAGGGAGAGAAATAGAAACATCAACGCTGACAGAGAATCACGGATCGGCGGCCTCCTGCACGCCCCACACTGGGGATCGAGCCCGCCAACCTGGGCATGTGCCCTGGCTGGGAATTGAACTGTGATCTCTTGGTTCACAGGTTGACACTCAACCACTGAGCCACCCTGGCTGGGCTGCGTCCTCTGATTCTTGACACGGTTTCTGCTCTCAGAACGGGGAGAACCCTGCACCGTGTCGTGGTCCCCTTCCCACCGTGGCCCGTGCTGTCTCCTTTCTGTCTTACGTTCGATTCGAAGTTATGGTTTCCCCCTTCCTGGTGATTTTTCAAATCCCTACAATTTTATTACTTGTGTTTTCTTGTAAGAACACCACATTTTTTACTGATATAATATTCTAATTAAAACACACACACACATAAGGTAAATACTTACCCAGAGCCTCAGTTTACCAAGCTGTAAAATGGGGATGCCACACTGTCCGCGAGGACACCGTTAGGGTTACATGAGGTGGACGGAAGTGCAGGGAGCAGTGTCTGGAGCAGGGCAGCTGCAGTAGGAACCCGTCACTGAGCAGCATTCAACGGAGACCCATGTGCCCGAAAGACACTCCCAGCCACTCACGCTGCTGCCCTCCCATCTGCATTCACCCGACAACACCGCTGCTCGTGTGGACTCTTTCAAACGTTTATTAAAAAAGCAAAATGGACGTTCATCTCGAAAGGAACCGTTAAAAACCAGAAAGCAATACGAAGGTCGTCTCTAGCAGCATCCGGTGGTGAGCCTGCGGCCTGGTGTCCGGCCGGCCGGGCGAGCCCCGCGCCTCGGAGCTGGCGGCCCCCCGCACACCCTCTCAGGGCGTGGGCCACACCGCGTCCATAAAATTAACAATTTCAGGTTAAATAAGCTTAAATAAGGGTGTTAAATACAGGACACTTCATCGAAGCCTCTGTACAAAGACGATGGGGCCTTGTCCGTGTGACCGCCGGCCCAGCGCGGGCGGTTCTGGCACATGGGCAGGCGGCCCTCGTCTGACGGCGCCCGCTGCACGCGGCTGAGCTAAGGTCGGGGTGACTACCGAGCGGGCCATTTAAAAGGCGGCCGCCTCTTTTGATAAAAACATCAGAACACTGCCAAGACCCAGGCACCGTTTGCTCCTGCAAATAAATGAGCCTCAGTAACTGCGTCCAAGCGAGTGTTCAGCGTCAAGCACACTTGACGCGGCTCCCCGACGCCTGGCCCCGCCTGTCTTATTGCTATGAGAGTGGCTGTGCGGATAAAACTACTGTACATCCAAAAAAATAGACCACCTTTCCATAGAGTATACGTCTGAGATCTGCTCCGGGCTTACCCGGCCGTCTACGGCCCGGACTACGGGAGTCTTTAACATCTTAGCAGGTCACCTGGCACCCAGGAGGCGAGACTATATGCACAGACCACGTGGTAGCGTCTACAGGGAAGGTCTAAGCTGACACCGGGGTTACATTCATCTCGACACGAGTACATTCATCTTCACGCCCGCCTGCCTGCTCGCGACGGCCGCGGAGAGAGCCCGGGCCCTCTGCTGGGGCGCGTGGGCCCCACGGACGGGTCGGCGGGGAGGGCAGCGCCGGCTGGAGGCACGGCTAAGCCTCCGCGTCTGCCTGTGACGGCCCAGACCCCGGGCGTGTCCCCTGGCCCCTGGAGGGGGGACGGGCTAGGACTTCTTGTCGATGGTGCTGAAGAACCACTCAGTGAAGGTGCGCAGCTGGGCGGCGGCCGTCTGCGACTCCTCCTGCAGCCGCCGGTTGTCCTGGCGCAGGTGCCGCACCTCGGCCTGCAGGACCGCCTTGTCCTGCTTCTCCTACAAGAGAGACACCGTCAGGCCGCCCGTCGGAGGAAGCCGCCACACCAGCCTGACCCTTACTCTTCACTCTTTTTTTATTTTAAACAATTACCTTTTAAAAGAAATTGATTTCAGACAGGAAGGGAGCGGGCGAGGGAGAGGGAGAGAGGATCATGGATGGGCTGCCTTCTGCACGCCCCCCACTGGGGATCGAGCCTGCAACCCGGGCATGTGCCCTGACCGGGAATTGAACTGTGACCTCCTGGTTCCTAGGTCAACGCTCAACCATGGAGGTTAAGGCAAATCCCCTGGACGAAGGCACAGCTGAGCGAACGTCCTCCCAGCACCAAGGTCGGTGCTAATGCGGCTGCTGACCCGGGCATGTCTGTAATCAAGCAAGCACGCCGGCCTCTCCCTGTGCCTACAGCTCTCCCTCACAGCGTAGTCCCTGAATGACCTTCACAGTGACCTTCCAAGGTTGCCATTAAAAGCTAGCAATAACCGAGAGTTTTAGAAGAATCACGAGTTTCTAATACACAGCGACAAGCATGTACAAGGCAGGTGCAGTCCCGGCTGCGGGGTGACGGGCCCCAGGTAGAGAAGGCTCCCCGCCTTGCAGATGACAACAGCGGCGTTTCTAACGGGACCCAACCTGACGGCTAAATCGGCAGCGGCCACGCAGCCTGTGGGGACAGAGCTGGGGGGACCCGACGGCGGCCTCCTATGGACACTCCCACCCCTGGCACGGCCCGCCCGTCCGCTTCCTGACCCTCCGGCCCCTGTACCACCCGCTCCAGGACCCCCTCACCCCTGAGGAGGCTCCGGTTAGAGCTGGCTCTCCGTGAGGCCCCATTTGCCACCCCCGTCCTCCCCTTCCAGTCATGGTGGGAGATCCAGCTCCTGTCACTCATCATGGGGCCCTCCTCCCAACACACTCGGGGCTCCTGTGTCCCCCCCCACCCCAAGACCCTCCAGCCCCTTTACTGTGACCCGTGGAACTCATACTCTGGCCGGAACCTCCTAAACGCTGAGGGTCATTCCTGGAAATTCCTTCATCTTCATGCAAATGAACCCGTTTTCCCCGAGGACACCGCTTCCCCAGGTGTGGTCCCCAAAGCAGAGCCGGGAGGTGGGGCAGGAACACTTGGGGGCCCTGGCTGCAGCCTTACTCTGTGGGGGGGAGGAGGCCTGCACTTGCTGTTGGGGACACCTCAGTACCTTCCTAATGCTTCGAGCTCCTGCTCCCCGACCACCACCTCTTCTTTAAAAAGTATAATCCCTCCGTATCCCCTCCTCCAACAACCCAGTCCTTGTCGGCCACACCCACCCTGCCTTCCCTTCCCGGCCTGTCACCCGTGGGCCGTCTGTCCTCGCTGCCTGGACGCGGCCCCTCCCTTTAACCCTCATCCCACGCTCACCCCGGGCCCTGCTTCTCTCTCCCGTCTCAGTTTCCTGTCTGGACCCTGAGCTGGCTAAGCCGACGCGCCACCACCTGCACCCGTGGCCGGTGAGGATCAGAGCGCTTCTCCCCGGCCCCTTCCTCTTCCTCCTGCTGTGAGAGGGGACTGTGTGCGGAGAGGTCTGATCAGGGACTGAGAGCTGTGAGAGCGAGCGCCCAGGCATTACCTTGCGGAGGTCGGTCTGCAGCTGCCGCAGGACCAGCTCCAGCTGGTTCACCTTGCCCGTCAGCGTGGCCGGGGACGGCTCCCTGGCAGAGAGGACAGAGTTAGAGATCCTGCCCGCCCCAAGTCAGGCCCGCTCAGGGCGCTGCCCGTTGCTCCCTCTAAACCAGCGGTTCTCAACCTTCCTACTGCCACGACCCTTTAATACAGTTCCTCGTGTTGTGGTGACCCCCAACCATCAAATTATTTTCGTGGCTACTTCATAACTGTAATGTTGCTACTGTGATGAATCGTCATGTAAATATCTGATATGCAGGATGGTCTTAGGCGACCCCTGTGAAGGAAGTCCTGGGAACTAATGGATTCAGTTCCTCCCTCGGCCCTCCTTGGTCATTACCAAGTTCATGGTCACTCGGGCTCATATAAAAGCAGGAATTAGGGTCCGGCCGGCACGGCTCCGTGGTTGAGCTTCGACCCGTGAGCCACGTCACGGTTCAATTCCCGGTGGGGGGCGTGCAGGAGGCAGCCGATCCATGATTCTCTCTCCTCACGGGTGTTTCTCTCTCTCTCCCTCCCTCTTTGACATCAATTAAAGTCTATTATTTTTTAAAAAGCAGGCGCGGGGAATGGATGACACAGGTGCAGGACACAGTCCTCGGGCCACAGCACGGCAAGAACCCGGCAGGAGCTGGTGCATCCCCGACGCCCTTCCTGGAAGGCGTGCGGCCTGCCGGGGCCAGGGGGAGAGGGTCCTCGGGGTCAGCACTCAGCCTGGCCGCGGAGGCCCGTGACCCGGGCCCACAGCCTCCCTTGCCGTGGGGGAGCCTCACACCATGGGCACCGGCTGCACATCTGGGTGGACAAGAGCCGCCACGGAGCACAGCGGGAGCCGGTCAGTCCCACCGCTCCCCGTCCCTTCTCTGGGTCGGAGGGACCAGGGTCGGCACCCGTGGCAGTTCTCAGATGATAAATATCACATGATCTCACTCATTTGTGGAATATAATGAACAACCTAAACTGATGAACAAAAATAGACCCAGAGACATAGAAGCATCGAACAGTCCTTCAAACCTCAGAAGGCAGGGGAGGGAGGGTGGGAAGGAGTTGGAGTAAGAGATCAACCAAAGGACTTATATGCATGCATATAAGCATAACCACTCAACACAGACAGTAGTGGGTGA